AGCAGCCAGGATTGTCAGCCTGTGCATCTGGATCCTGGTCACCATCATAGTCCTCCCTTTCATCATCTTTGCCAATGTCTACACCGATGATCTGGAGATCAAGAGCTGTGGTCTCAATTTCCCCAAGCCTGAGAGGTTTTGGTTCAAAGCCAGCAGAATCTACACCCTCATCCTTGGCTTTGCCATTCCAGTATCCACCATCTGCATCCTGTACACCATGATGCTCTACAAGCTGAGGAACATGCACCTGAACTCCAATGCCAGAGCCCTGGACAAAGCCAAGAAGAAAGTCACCATCATGGTCTTCATAGTCCTGGCTGTGTTCCTCTTCTGTTGGACCCCCTTCCACCTGGCCACCATCGTGGCTTTGACCACTGACTTACCCCAGACCTCCATGGTCATTGGGATATCCTACTTCATCACCAGCCTAAGCTATGCCAATTCATGCTTGAATCCTTTCTTGTACGCTTTCCTGGATGACAGTTTTCGGAAAAGTTTCCGGAAGCTGCTGGAATGCAGAACTTCTTGAACAGGGGGTTGGGGCTGGCAGGTCCCTGCCCTTCCAGGGTTTTTCAGGAGAAACTTTGCAGACTGGAGGAGTGGCCAATGAATGCACAACGTCCTTTCTTTGGTTTACATGTAAGGTGCGGTCTGTTTGTAACCCTCGTCAGCAACAGAGTTTGTCCTGCCCACTTGCAACTCTTGTATTTCCCCTCTTTGCTCCCACCAACTTGCATTTTTAGACCCTGATTTTAATTTCACCCTCTGAATTATTAAGGACAGAATATTTCCTTTTCAGGGGTGTACTTCTGCCACAGAGTGGTCCTTTATTGCCATCTGCTGTGCAGCATGGACAGGCTGGAGACCAATTTCCAGAGGAGTGCAAAGCTCAGTTCTTTATCACTGAGTTATTAGGGAGGATTGTTTAATGGAGCAGAGCTAATGAGCACTTTTAATGAAACGTCTGTAAGACAGAGGATGAGTATTTGGAAGAGAAAAGAAACTATTTTCAATGTTCATGTATGTTCCTGTGTGTTACGGCTTTCTTTTGATTTTGAAGGATTGTCCATCTTCCACCCCACCACAAGTTTCCTCTTTTCTGACTCGTTAAATTTAGACCAAAAGGAAGATTTGAGTCTCAAAAATAGTGCCAAACAGCACACCATACAAATACTATAACAACTGTGAGAACTTGTGTTAGAAATCATTTTGAACTAGTTGTTCCTGTTAAGTGTCAAATACATATTTATTTAAGAGTGAGTAATGAAATAAACCTCATGGGGGAAAAAAGAGACTGGTCCTTCTTTCACAAGAGAAAATTTATGCTACTTGTGCCATATCTTTGCTATATATATTGCATTTTTCCTATTATAAAATAAACACAGCAGGTTTGTAACAAAATTAAGGTGGTTTGTAAGCCATAAGAAAAACTCTAGTGAGCACTGCAGATATAAAATTTCTTCCTTCACAGACAAAGAGTCAACGTACTTGAACAAAACCAGGACTTGACTGGGAGACTCTGGAGATCAGAAACTCCATATGGAAATCTTGGAAAACTCATTCTCGCACCCTTTAACCCTGTGAAGTTCATATGTTATTGCTTTTAGGGAGGCTGTCATAGCTAAAATATTTATTTCAAGCTTTTCCCCAAACCCAGGTACCAAGCTTGGCTCTTACCTGTCCAAATTCCCCCAGGAAAGTGCAGGACAAGGAACAGAAAAGGAAATGAGGCTGCAGTTCTCAGCTTAAATGGGTTCTCAGAGCCATGGGTGGGTGTGGGTGGAGACCCCAGATGAGACTGCTCGGGCAATTCAGTGCCCTGAGCACCCCAACATGCAAAATGACAGCCCTCAATTCCTCGGGATGGCAATTTCATTTATGGAAAACTAAAAACAGATGTGTGGACACAAGATCGCTCTGTTGCCTTCTCCATATTAAAGGTGCTAGCTGTGGTAGAACAGTGGAGAACACATTCTTCCAGGCAAACCTTCCCCAGGAATTTTGCTTTGGCGTGGTTGCCACCTGCTGGCAATGGGTTTCCCAGGTGGAAAAACTTCTCTGTGTGAGAAAACGGACTCAAATTATGTCACCTCTCACACAAGCTGCCCAATCAGCTGAAGCATCGCTGTTCATTGGCACTGGGGCTCTAGGAAAGGCAATATATTTTATTAAGTAGAAAACTACTGTATTTTTTTTCATGGAAAGGAGTTTTTCAATGTGAGTTACCCACTTCAGACATGACAATGATATTGCTGGAGCTTTTTCTGTTAAATCACAAGTCATGACAGCCACAGAATTACAGCATGGCTCAAGCAGGGTTAAATTTCCCCGCACCGTGTTCACTCGGGTTTGAATGTCTCCAAGGATGGAGATGCCACAGCTAGTGTGGACAACCTGTTCCTGTACTTCACCACCTGAACAGTGATTTTCCTTCCTATGATTTAATGGAATTTTCCATGTTTCAGTTCGTGTCTCCTGTCACTGGGCATCACTGAGGAGAGTCTGGTTCCCTCCTCTCTGAACCCTCCTCGGGCACTTCCAGACGTTTCTTGCATCCCCTGCCCCTTCCCTTTCTGAACACGGCCAGCCCCATCGGAGCATCTCCCTATGGCAGCATCCTGCTGCATCCGCGATTTTCTCCACGCCAAACACCCGACACGAGCGTTGGCGGCTTGTGCGGGTGCCAGGCTCCCGGGGGAGAAGGATTTGGGCTGTCCAGGTCCCCTCCCGAGCGCAGGGGAGGCTGCAGCTCCCGCGGAGCCCCGGTGCGGTTCAGCCCGGCGGCGCTAAGCGGCACTCGCTGCTTTCAGCTCAGCATCGCTGCATCCCCCCCCATCGCAGCATCTTCAGCCTCACACACAGCCTGGCACTCTGCTCCTGCGGGGAAACAGCACATTCGGGGTTCCTGTGCCTGGGCAGACCCTCGGAGCGCAGCAGCAGAAGCCAGGCTGTCCTTCGGCTCCTTCTGGGAGAGCAGAAAACACCTCCAGGGAGATGCTTGCCCTCTCCCAGCACAACATTTCCCCAGGGAAATCCCGCACGCCAGCTTGTTCCTTTGAGTTTCCTCCCACTGCTGGGGCTGGCTTGTCACACCAGCCCACATCGGCTGCATCTTGAACACTGGAAGCAGGAAAACAAACCCCATTAGAGATTCACAAATAGATGCACAAATAGATGCACAAGTCCCCTCCTAAAGCAAGCATCCCGTCTGGGGTCTGCAGGGAGGCTGAATTAGGAACCCAGGGTTTCCTCCTCTTCCTAACCCCTCCCCAGCCATGCACAGAGTCAGCTCAGCCTCAAAGCTGGGTGGATTTCCTTCTGGAACAGTGTGTGCTGCATTAATGGGTGCAAAGGTGTGGGGCAGCCACCGAGAATTAGGGCTCATATCCCCATTTTTAGGAATTAGGGCTCATATCCCCATTTTTAGGAATGAGGGCTCATATTCCCACTTTTAGGAATTAGGGCTCATATTCCCACCACAGGCTTTCCATGCAGGCATCTGAGCCAGGGCAGGGGATCAGAAGCAGTTGTTGCTTTTTAAATCTTCATGCTGCAGCAATATTGGCTGTTTGGATCAATTGTCCTCATCCGAGCCGTGCTGCAGCTTGTTCTCCCGGGAAGCTCCAATCCCCTGGGTCTTACACAGTCTCACACTGCCTCCCCAAGGCTGGTCACGATTTTTGGGTGAGAAAAGAAGTAATACCCCACTGAGAGTTGGAGGCCTGGCTTCTCAGAAGCATCTTGATGTGAGAAAAATATGAAAATAAAAATTAAACATGGATAAGCAAAAAGTTGGGCTGTGAAAGATGAGAAGCAGAAGGGTATCCAGAAGATGGTGTTCAAATCAAGCCAAGAAAGAGAATTTGTCCCTTCCCTGTACAGCCTGACACCTGTAGCACTCACCTTGTTTCCTTGGGACTGCAGGGAGCCCCTGGGTACTGATGAGCCACTGATGGTCCCACCATAAACCCAAGGAAATGGTGACCTACTGGCTCTACTGCCCAATTTTGGGAGAAACAAGCCCAGTTTGGCACCTTCAGAGGGTCTCAGCACATCAAGGTTTGACATTCCCACCTGCTGCTGGGACTTCCCAGGCTGGATTCCTCTCCCAGTGAGTCAGGAGCTCACCTGAGCATCCCCTGTGGGCTGTGGGACACGGCCCTGGCAGCTCCCTGTCCATGGCCAGAGCAGAGTGTGTGGGTCTTGTCCCATCCACACCACCACTGCAGCTGAGGTTGTGCCTGGAGGCAGTTTTGGGGTGATAAATTTGTTCTATGGCAGCTCTGAGGCCTCCAGAGGAGCTCCAGGCTTGTCATCATGGAGTGACAGGATGAGAGGAAATGGCCTCAAGTTGTGCCAGGGGAGGTTTGATTAGATATTAGAAATATTTTTTAGATTTTTTTTTTTTTTTAGATTTTTTAGATATTTAGAGGTTTGATTAGATTATTAGAATTTTTTTTTTCCCCAAAAGGGTGGTCAAGCCCTGGAAAAGGCTTCCCAGGGCAGTGGTGGGGTCACCATCCCTGGAAGTGTTCAAAAAACCTGTGTGTGTGACATTTCATTTAGTTTAGTGGTGAATGTGGTGGTGTGGCTGAGTTGATGGTTGGACTTGTTGAGCTTCTCTAAACTTAATTATTCTATGATATCAGGGATCCTCCAAAATAATCTTTCCAAAGAAACACCTGTTGAAAAGCCTCATTTCCCTCCCTCCTCCTCCTTTTAACTGGAAGAGAGGAAGAGGAGTTAATTTAAAGGCAAAGGCCAAAAATAGCGACTGTAAATATTGCCATGAGTCCTTGTTGGCATTTGTGTTTGGTAAGTGAAGATGCAGAGAGAAGGATCAAAGCTGCCTGAATGGCTTTTAATTACAAGCCTTGATTGTTCTATTTTCTCTCAGAAAAATACTGCAATTATCTAACAAAGCTCTTCAAGTGGAATTAGACACTAGCCCCAAGCTTCAAGGGCTGTTCAGTGGCTATTTTCTCTTTAAAAAAGAAAGTAAATTTGATGTGTAGATAAAACCCAGGCGCTCTATTGACTGCCTACAGTCAAATTTGGTGCTTCCTGAGTAAACAGAGGATGGGAAGCTTTCCCCAAGAGGAAGTCAACAGCCTGGGGTGCACCAAAGGCTGATGTCACTCTGCTAAAGCCCCCCACCACAATGTTCCCTGGCCGCCTGGGATGGGTGCTTCCCATGTGGGAAAGGGGAGTTCCCTTTGGGGGTAAAATAAGCTGTAATTTGGCAGCAAGACCTTTGTCCTCATTTTCAGTTTACCTGAGATGTTTTCTTGCTCTTTCACTAGGACTTCTGCATATCTCCATCACCTCCCCTAGCTCCAATGCTTCTGCACAGCTCATGCCAGAAGTGTGGGAGTTTCCTCTTTGGGAGGAAACCTTGGGAGTTTCTAAGGTCCAAAACCATCCTCTGTACAAGACTCAATAAACCAGCTGGATAAGGAAATCAAGAAATAAGGATTCTGTTTCATAAACTTAACCCTCAAATGAGATCAGAGACTGGTAATTAACAAAGTCAGATTTCAACACAATGAAAAATCTCCCCTGAGACCCAGCCTGCTGCTGCTCAGCATTGATGGAAATCCTACAGATGTAATTAAATTTCCTTTATCCATGTGATGGGTTCAGCAGGATCCTTCATGCTGTGGCCACACCCAGCTGAGCTCCTTCATCCACGCTGACCAGGAGCTGGGGTGTGAGGCTGATGGACACCATTTCATGATGGATGGGGCAGGTCAGAGCCAACAGCTCACAGAATCACAGAATCATGGAATCATAGACTCACAGACTCACAGAATCAGAGAATCACAGAATCACAGAGTCACAGAATCATGGAGTCATGGAATAACAGACTCACAGAATCACAGAATCACGGAATCACAGACTCACAGAATTACAGAATGGTTTGGGTTGGAAGGGACCTTAAAGATCATCCAGTTTCAACCTCCTGCCATGGGCAGGGACACCTTCCTCTAACCAGGATACTCAGAGCGCCATCCAGCCTGGTCTCCAGCTCATCCTCCCCAATTCCTGGGGGACAGCCCCAGGCAGAAGGGCTCGGTGGCATCGCTGACACTCACCAGATGATGAAGCAGTTTTCCAGCCTAGCACATGCAAATAAAACCCCGGTGCAGATGCCAAAGCAAACCACAGGAAGAACCCTGGTTGGCTTTCCATTGCCACCTCCCAGTCACCTCTGGGATGCAGGGACAAGGATAAACACAAGCACCAGGGGCTGGGCTCATTTTCTGCCCCTTTGTGCTGGGTCCCTGGAGGCAGGTGATTATCTCCAGAAATTTTAATGCCATGAAGGTTGGATAGATGACATTTAAGGTCCCTTCCAGCACAATCCATCCTGTGAT